CGTCCGCGCAGGTAATAGTTTTTGCTAACCTTTTATTTGGAAATTTTAATCTGGGTATGCTCAAGAGTATTAATTCGAAACGACCCCATCGACTGATAATTACCTGGTGGGCACAAGACGCATGTCAATGTTACGAAAGCAATATTACGGCTTAAGGGCTTTCGATGCATGCATTAAACATTCTGGAGCTTATAGATAGTATTTTAAATCTCATCCTGCTGTGCTGAAGAAAAACGCCGTATGAACATTCAGACGTTGCCAAATTTTGTTTAGTTTACAACAAATTATCTCTAAGACTAACGGACATTTTTTAATCCTTTAGAAATTTTTTTTCGCAACTTGATCTGAAGAATCTAAATATTTTGAGGAAAGATAATCATAACTTTGCCCAAAAATAAATAAGTTTCGAGGGAAACTTGGCAATACTCGAATGTTCATACGACGTTCTCCCTCAGGATATCAGCATAGTTCCTACGAGCTAAACTCCATTTCTCGCAAGACAGCATCGGTATTAAAAAACTGTTAAAGGCGAGGCTTTCAAGAGAGGATGCAACTCTTTCAACGGTCGGTATTCTCCGCAAAGGCGGCATAGAAGTTGGATTTAGAGGAGATACCCTTTTGTGTGGCCAAAGCTCGAAAGCAGATGCGATTGGCTTTTTAAAAGAGTTCTTATAATTTCTTTGAGAGGATTATACGAAATTAGATAGTGGCGCTCGCGCTCTGAGTGCGTTGCTTTTATTTCCGTGATCCAATGAAAACGAGAGGCTTATTCTCGCGCCTAAACCCTCAACCCTTCGGCTCAAACTCTGGCTCAAGGCCGTATTGATTGTCGTTTCCTAACCAGCCTCTTTCCTAAGGAGGCCTTATATGGTTACCATTAAGATTCAGGAAGGTTTCAGGAGATCCTGAACGTGTCATCCTAAACTGACGATGTTAACTAATCTCGAAGAAAATTCAGAAGTAAAACTCTGAAAATTGATCTGAACGAGGGATTACAATAATTTTCAGTAACATAAAATACAAAATATTAAATAAAATAAGTTTTTAGCTTTACAAAGTTTAGTGTAAGTTCACACCTTCTTTATATTTTTTCAAAATAATGAATGCTAACAAATCTTGGGTAAAAGTCAACAGGGTAAATTCGGATATGGACCATTGCAAGAAATAACAATGAATTGCAACTGCAAAAATAAAATTAAAAAAATAAGAAAGAAAAATGAGTATGAGTTTTACATGTACAATGCAACCCATTCCAATTTTTGTCGGGTTTCCTTTTGATCGTCATTTCCCTTATTTTGCATTTTATTGTACTTTCATTCATCCTCATATTACAGTAGTCAGTGTAAAGAGACTTTTTTCACCCTCGCTCAGTAGCTTGTGGATATGCAACTACAACCCTAAACACAATTTCGCAACGGGAGCTCTGGAAAATCGGGGCGACACCTGAGCAGAGGGGTTCGATTGTTTAATCGATATCGAATGGTATCGATCGATCGATATTGCTAAGGTAGAGGTATATCGATATCGATCAAGTCACATTAGCAAGTCGAGTGGAGATGGAACGATTGTTAGGCGTGGCCAGCACTGCCTTGCTAAGGAGAAACGCCGTATGAACATTCGAGAGTTGCCAAATTTCTTCCTAAAAAATGTTTATTTTTTAGAAAAGCTATGAATATTTTTCCGTGAAATTTTCAGGAGCTTTAGGTGAAAATGCGAACAAAATTATCTGAAAAATTGGAGGGAATTTTATTGCAATTTTTCCCGAATATTCGCGATTTACCGAAGGAAATTTGGCAACGCCCGAAGGTTCTTAAGGCGTTTTCCCTTAGCACGGCAGAGCAGCTCAGCAGTGTGCACCCGTAAGTCGTGAGTGTTGCAAAATTCCCTTTATCCCTTTGTAAACTCCCGTTCCGTGTTGATTGTCGGGTGCGGTCTGAAAAACTTGTCCCTCCTCTTTTCGTTTCGGGATGCGTTTCGCAATGCGACCTCTGTCACCTCCTACCTCCTCCTTTCCGCCCTCCCCCCGCCCCTGGCCCCTTTCCGAAATAATTCTACCAGGCGCGTGGCCCAGTTCAAGAACCCTGTTATGTAATTTTTTGTTTGGTTTTTTTCTCGGGACGAAAATAAATTATTGCGAGATAGGTGAATAACACTATCATACTAGGGAAAAATGCCGTATGTTCATTCTGATATCGTCGAATTGTGCGCCCTTGATGAGATGTTTATTTTGAACAAATTTATGAATCCTTATCCTTTAAGTTTTCATATACTTTAGATCATATTGCGAGTAAGAATCTGTCAAACAGTGACAAAAAATATTCAAAAGTTCCCCGGAAAATTTGTATTTTATCTCAGGGAATTTGGCAACGTCCGATGGCTCATACGGCCTTTTTCCTCAGCACGGCAGATTTGAAGAATTATAATATATCTCGATGATTTGCAATGACTAAGATTGAATAGAAACCACGCGGACAACAGCGAGGACTCGACCTACATATTCACGAAATTAGACGAGTGGGGGAGGGGGAGGGGGTCAAATAGGATGAGAACTCGAGTTTGATTTATTTTATTTCAAGACGCTACGACCACATTCAACCTCATATTTTACTAGCAAGTTGAGGTTCGCCCCTCGGACTCCCGATCACTCGAGTTCGACTCGCTCTGTGAACCGCAATTTTTGGTTGTGGGCCATTTTCTTCAGGAGTCAATGGAGAAGTAACCCCACGGAGATAGAGGTGATGGACTTATTTAGTGGTTATGTTATTCTTACCATACCTGTCCGATATTCCGATTTTCGAATGGGAAATCAAAATCGGAGTCCGAATTTTTGTTCCAATGGAACGATAGAAGAAAATCAGGTGGAAGTTAAAATCATGATCATGCTTAGCCCCCCCCCCCTCCCTTGGACTAAGAAGCTAAAATTCGGATATCGTGTGGAGTATTCCGTGCTTTTAAAGTTCGCAGTAACAATTTTTTATTTTTCGCACCGGGTTTCCTCCATTTAAACGCATGCAAATCAGTCAATCTGTCTACCCTGCCATGCTTAGGATCGGTTAATCATTATAGATTCAAATGAGGGAAATTTCTACCGAATTGGGATAAACGTCTCTAGGAGTTGGAGCAATCAAAATGTATTATGACCGAAGCATGAAAGAGAAAATTGGGCCGTTTTGATATCATTTCCTTTTATATGATGCATCCAAACGGTACTGCCATCATATTTTTTGGGTGCCTGGTTTTTTTTTTTTTGTTTTTTTTTTGTTTTTGGTAATTAGTGACATTTTTTGGATTGGGCCGAAATTTTGTACAAAAATCATATTTTTGTTTTTTTGGAATCCTGGAGACACAAAATTTTACCCAGGGAACGTACTGTCAAAACTTTAAGAGTGGAATTCGGTGCCGGAGTCTATGTAGCGCCCAAAAAATCCGATTAATATGATTGTAAGGTAAAATATCCCCTTTTTACGGAGTGATTCACACGTCTACGAAACAGAATCTCCCCTCTTTAAAAAGCGCCGTACGCTCGTATGGAGCGAATTTCACTTCACATTCATACCGCTCGGATTCTATACCGAATTTCACTCCTCGATTTTTAACTGTTGGTAATCGGTTTTGCTGCAACGGTTTGGCATCGATGTTGATTGAACTGGATCATAAAATTTTTTAGAGTCTTGGATGAATTACGAGGACATCGAACGTTCAAGAGGCAGACCTTGCCACGGTGCGTGAAAAAAAGTGATCATGGAGAAAAGAGACTGAACCGCAGGAAACAAGAGAGGGGCGAAAAGAGACCGAAAACGCACTGGCCGCATCACCCGTCCTTTTGTTGGCGATTTATTTTTAATTTTTTGAGGCAGAAATTAATTTTTGACGCCGCGCAAGCGTAACCTTACGGCAGAGGTGCCCTTTCCATTTTTTTTAATGTTCGCTGTACGTTTATTGCGCCGTAAAAGGGCCCATTATAAAACGGAATTTAGTGGGGTTTCACGGGATTTATAGTGCGTGTTTCGTAGATAAAATTTTGAACTGTTCCGGGCTCATCTCCCGTCTTGCCAGTAAAGAGGTTTATGTGTTGTGTTCTATTTACGAACCACCGCAAATAAGCGGGTGTTTATTTTTGGGTGCAATGGCAATCACCCTCCGAAACAAGCATATTCGTTGAGTAAAATCCTCCTGACACATGTGAAAATCGCTAGGAATGGAGATTTTCGAGAAAGAAATCAATTTTATTGATTTTTTTAATTTTGGCAAAGCAATCGAAACAACTCAGAAATCGCCGCTAAAATAAATGTCCATTTCTTCAATTTTTGGGATCAAAATAGTGAATTACTTATCAATGGTATGACATCATTTTCATCACCAATTTCTAAAAAAATTGACAAGAATCGTTCGATTTCAATCGTTTGTATGCGCAAAAAATCGATTCCGCTTTTGAATGGATTCAGTTATTTGCGCCGAGAAATTTATGTCTCAAAAAAATCAATTTGAAGTTGACAACCTAACACCCTAGTCAATGTTGATTTTTGAAGAGATTGTTGATGCATCGAGAAGTTCTTTGCCACTATTATGTATCTTGCAACAGAAGGAAGTGAGGCGCATCTCGAACTTGAAATCACTCTTAATTATTAATTTATTTTGATAATGTGACTTGGTTGTTTTCAACCAAAAGAACTGAATTAAGCTGAGAGGGGCCAAGTAAAATTCTGTAAGTAGGAAAAAAATAAAAAAAAGTTCGGGGTTAAGCTTAAACTAGCTTAAATATAGCCGCATATTTTTGCTCATCGAATATTCAAAGTAAAAAATACTGAAATGAGAAAATGGGCTTTGAGCGTTATTTATATTATGATTCTTTCGGAAATATAATCCTCTGATCCTCTTTTTTCTTACTTCCATTTATGCATGAGTTGATTAATTTTCTTTAAAATCTGTCCAATTTGACCAATGAATTTTAATAGAGAACAACCAAGCCTCCTCTACGAAATGGAACAATAATTTGGATATATTTTAGTAATTAAATGTAATTAATAAATATATACTATGTATGTACAATACAATAATTTGAATGTAGATTTCTTTGAAGTATATTCGTGCATCATATCGCGACTTTTTCATTTCTTTCACGTAGGTTTTTCGAAGCATCAATTCTGGCATGAACAGTCCCTCATTTAGGCCACATTCGTATTCAGAACTCTCTAATCTTTAACTGGCTTTTCTTGATCTTGCCACTTAATGATGCAACATTTCATTTTGCCACAGGTAACTCGTAGAGAAACAAGAAATAGGAGAAGGACCGGTTCATAGCCTAGAGAAAAAAAGCAAAAACATCCTTCACAGCACAGGGATAGCATTACTTGAACGGAGACTTACAACAATTTTGAAGTTTTAGAACAAAAAAAAAATGTTTTGAGACTTCAAATAACTGTTGAGACTTGTTATCGAGACTGTTTCAACACACGTAGGTACCTATGAGCGAGTTTATTAATTCGTTCTAAGGCAGTTTATTTTGTTATTTGGCAATACTGGGAATCGTCTATTCAAAATTGACTTTATTGTGCAATTAGGAGCCACCATCTCTTTCACAAGTATATAACTACCTATCTACCTGTACTAAAGGTACATACCTTGTTTCTAAAATCAGTCAGAAAAAGTAGTTCCTTATCGGAAAATACGGTCCAATTCTAAAAGAATCAATATTTTTAAGACAAGATGATACTTCACTTGTGAATCGATTTTTGAACCTGGCCTTGAATGAAAGGTAAAATGTAAAAGTATTGGTAACTTCCCCAAGACCGGTGGCCCGCCTTTGGAAGAAAGGCGCAGAGAATTATTATGGGCTTGAAAGTGAATAGCTAAGGTTTGGCAACTTTTCCTAAAGGGGAAATTGCAAGTCATCTTCGGATCGGGAAATGACAATACAATTCTAAGCAAAAATGGAAACTCTCTGTAAATTTCTTCGATCATTTTTATTTTGACGAACGAAAAAGGCTCGATTCGATGTTTTGAATTTCTATTCTCATTTTTAAATACATCTTGAAAAAATGTCCTTTGAATATGCTGTGAGGCAAATCGAAGTGGTCACGATTGAGTTTCTTATACTCTCTACACCCTCTCGATCAGTAAATAATGCACAATAAATCTCACTGTTGAAAATAAGAAAAATATTCGTTGCGTTATCTTTAACGCAATGAGAGACAATTCATAGTTTCAACAAGAGAAAAAAACTGTCTTTGTCATGATGGATCCAATTTTTCTTAGTGCACATCCTCATTTGTTCTAAATTGCTTGCCCTTCTCAAATTTAATCGCGAAGATTACTTACTTGCGAAAAATGTTCAAGATCTACCGAGACGAAAGAAAATGCTTTCATTTTGACAGAGTTATTCAGCGCCGAACTAAAGTTAAGAAATATTTCTCTGTATTCAATAGATTTCTCATACCAGTTATTTTTCCACAGTGAGTGTTTTAAGTTATCGTACTGAAATGAAAGAATAGACAAATAAAGATTGTTTTACACTAAAAAAAGTACGGCAAATTTTAGCAGAAGTATGGTAAATTCTGATATGAGTCTACTTGGTTTTTGATACAGTGATACTATAGTATAATGATAACCAGACTTCTAGTAGAGTTGACCATACTTTATGTGAATGTGATTAGAGTTGTGGTACTTTTTATCCTACCCATGAACAATTACATACGGCTGATTTAGACTCCCTCTCTCCTCTCCAATTAGAAAAACTCATAATTCAGCAACAAGTTGTGTTGAAACATAACAGTTCTGCTTTATTCAATTAAAAATAGAAACGTTAAAATGAGCAGGTTTTATTTTTATTGAGTATTTTCCTTGATAACATACAGGAAGATGAAAAACACCTGTATTAAAAATATCGGAGATTTTTTTTTTATATGTATTTTTTTGACATTTTATTTGAGAAGTATGAAACAAGCATTTTTACAATAATAGTAATTTCTCAAATGTGGATGTTTTGTTTAATGTGAGACACCTCTTAAACCTTCGCTTTAAATAATGCACGTAAGGCCTTTATAAATATCACCGCGATATCATCGGTACAAGACCAGAATCGAAACAAGTATTACTTACGGTGATTTCAAATAAAGTTGCGTTCAAACACATTAGAAATATGTGACCGGATGCTCCTGCGACGTAGGCAACATACATTGCAGTCTCACTGATTATTTTTCCCATCAATACGGTATGCCTAAGTGTCTATAAGAAAACCGAGCCAATGATTTTAAAAGGAAGGAAATTAATGGTGAGTGGATCAGTAACTTAGCTAAAGAAAGAGTAAATCAAAGAATGAGATATGAAACATACAGGACGTAGGAATTATCTATCAAATGCACGCATCACGTTTCGCCTTTAAAGCCTCATTCCGTAGAGCAATTTTTATTCTCGATTGAAAAAAAAAAAAATTTTATTTTAATAGACGAAACTTCCTCGACTTAGAAGACTCCTTGATAATTATCGATTATAAAATTGAAGTCTTAGTTTATATATACTTACGTATACTACCGCATAGGCCATGATTGTGTTCGTAATCATCCCTACTAGGTAAACCGCACTAAAATATGCAACAAAATACTCCGAAATAAGCTTAGCATGTCTGTGAAAAAAACCCAAGCATTCATAAGATACATTTGAAATGCAATCTATTTTAAAGAAATAAATTGTTATCGGGAAAATTTATACATATATTTTCAACCATCACATTCTGTCATTCAAAGAGGATGCAAAAACAACTTTCTTGCGAAACTGGGGTTTTCCAGTGCGTCACGAATTCAGATGGATGTCTGACTAAAGTAAAATTGTCAATATTCTTGTCGATCGCATTTTTTATAGAAAGAAAAATGATGGCTCATGATCCCCGCAAAAATTTTTCTTTTTTAATGCTCTTCCTGACGATAAGTTAAAACAGAGAGTGGGTTTTTTCCTCCTTCCTCTTCTTTGTAAAGAGAAAGTTTAAATGACGCCAAAATTTTTATTCCCCCGCGAGAAAGTATTTTCTTTCTTATATTACTTAGGGGACGAGCACCTAAAATTTCAGCCTAACACAGTTCCAAAGACATTCAGTTGTTTTCGGACTTCAGCCTTGGAACCAACAGCGATTTTACGAGGGTTTTTTGTTTGTTTTTTCATTCGACGTACAGCTTCAATGAGTACACATTCCACAAATTTTTCCACTAAAACAACGTAGACTGTGGAATACAAAAACTAGTTTTAAAAAAATAAAAAAATAAAAAAAAACATTAATAACATTGTCAATAAAATAATCAAAATTTTTGAAAAGCATTAAAAACTGTATTGAAACTTTTAAAACTTTTTTGAAAATCTCACGCTTTCACTAATTTGTTTTTTTTTAATATCTTGGAGAGTATCCAGATATTCAAAAATAAAGAGAATTTATTTAACACTGATTTAGAGTGTCTCCAAAATCGTTTATTGCAATCTATACCTTCCACAAAAGTATTTGAACCTCGGACACCCCGCCCGCCCGCGAAAACACCGGAAACTAACGCGCCTGCGCAGCCAACAGTCAGGCGATCAAAAAGACTGCAAGGTCGGCAGCCAGCTGATAATGGTGGCCCGGGTAGCCGCCGAAACGCGTCCGAAAAATAACAAATTAGTGAAAGCGTGAGTTTTTCAAAAAAGTTTTAAAATTCGTTATTAAAACATGAACAATAAGAGAGCGATTTTAATACAGAAGTGCGCCTGTTGTGTTGTATCGAAACCACAGAAATTCCGTGCTCCGGCCTATTAGGCAATGTAGATCTCGATTTGAGACATGTTGTAAACATCCCACGAGCCTAATAGGTATGACATACAAGCTGACATAAGAAGTTTGTTATGGAGCGATAATAAGAAATACTTAGTTACCTTCTTAATTTTTGCCAATCCTTGATGCACTGTTTCATTACTCCGCACTTTCGATCAACATCATTACAAAATTTATCACCAAAAAGAGTTATTGGGACAGAAATTAACTCAGATTTTCTCCCTGTTTTAAGAAAAAACAGTCGTATTTATTCCAAACAGAAGTCAAGGAAGAGTAAATACATAGTATGTATGTTGGATGATCAATGAAAGCTAATTTTCACTGAACCTACTAAAAAATATCGTGCTGATATTCAATTTCAAAACATAGCGTGTTTTGCGAGTACCTACTCATGACTTTAATATAGACCTTTAGCACTATATTTTGCTTTTACTTTGGCGATGGGTCAACTATTTCATTCGACAAGGCAACTCTGCAACTCCTTGTCTTATGAATAAAATTTAAAACAATAATTATGCAATGTCAATTTATTTTATGTATCATTACATCAAATTGCTGTATTTTCGCTATTTTTCATTGGCCCTAGTTATTCTTATTTAGCATGCACATAATTCTAATAGTAAGTTGTAAGTAAGTAAGTAAGTAAGTAAGTAAGTAAGTAAGTAAGTAAGTAAGTAAGTAAGTAAGTAAGTAGTAGTAGTAAAATAATTTTATTTTAAAGCGGTGCTTTAGCATCTAAGGCCATTTACACCTCTAAAGAAGGCAGTAATAGTAATAAATTTACATGGAAAATAAGGTTACATATGCATCAATAAAAATACAAAAGGGTTGAGGGGAAAAGTTAAATTTTGAGATTAGTGGAGCGCATAAATTCAAAAAGTAAGTAAGTAAGTAAGTAAGTAAGTAAGTAAGTAAGTAAGTAAGTAAGTAAGTAAGTAAGTAAGTAAGTAAGTAAGTAAGTAAGTAAGTAAGGGCCGGGATTACCGGCGACGCGCCCTCAAGGGGCCAAGGCACTGGCAGGAACCCTGCCGGCGTGTACCCCAAAGTTGGACCGTGCTCCTTAACTTCGTACTATTACAAGTATCAGTCACCTCCGGGGATTGAACCCGGGAATTCAGTGTTAGCAGCGAACTGCCTTGACCACTACACCACTTAGGCTGACACATAATTATTATGGTGATCTGTATTACCTTCTGATGTTTCAAAGTCTTTAAAGAAAGTTTGTGGTTGCGAAAACTGCGGGCGCTCATCATCTTGCAGATATTGACTGAGAGCTTCAAACTTGGAACGAGTGTCCATCAGGATGTATATGTACAAAACACCGGCAGAGGCAAACATGAGGGAGTTGTACCAGAGGACGGTTGATTCCCACACAAGGATGAACCAGAAGATTCTCCTCGACGAGGTGACGTCAATGGGGTACCACACCGGTATCACGATGAACCATTCCTCGAAGTCGAGTCCGAACCTGAGGGCCGGCGAAACGACCGCAGTGAAAAGGGCTAAACTGTACATGAAAACCGCTAAGAGCACGAGAAATACGCCTGTTGATTTGTGTCGGAGCCACAGAAATTCCTTGCTCCGTCCTGCTAGACAGTAAAGATGTCGATCTGAGACATTTTGTAAACATGCCACGAGCCTACAAAATGACAGAGATATAAATAGGAAATAAGTCTTGCAAGCTTCTTAAATTTTTTTAGTTTCATATATAATTTAATTAACAGGGGATGAGTTTGATCGAAAACCACGAATAGTAGGGGTTCTTTCAATGGACCACTAGATGAGGTGTAAATGTGCTGAGCGTCCTGAAGCGTGCTTCCTAGTAAATATTCCCCGTAAAACATGATTTGCGCACCAAAAAGGTCATAAATAACTCCTAACGAAGATATTTAAGGTTTTTTTGTGTGTTGATTCATACCTCCCGCTTAAGCAAAAACAGACGTATATATGCGAGAGTCAAATCACTCAAAATGTTCACCTGTGCCCAAGTATTGTTGTTGAAGCAGGAAACTTAAAAAAGGCATATCTCTTACGTAGATTGTGAAGTCACCATGGCCGGATTCACCTACTTGCCGCCCTCTTCTCATTCGTTTTGAAACTCGATAAAAACCATTGAATGAACGTGTCAGCGGGGGAGGGGTGTATAAGACGCATTTACTTGTGTTGAACAAATTTTTTGGGAAAGCCCTGTCAACACTACAAGTAAAAGTTCACGAAACTTGGCGCGAAAGTTAACTTCCGTAAACCTATCTCTGTGTGGACAAGGCCTTAGATTCATAAGAAATGAACGAAACAATTATGAAAGAACAAACATAGATGTAGTTTAATGATCTTAACTTCCGCCGACGCGCCGCGCAGACTTCACTGTGTTTGACGCAATGCGTGAAGTATTCACGCAGTCTTGTAGGCGCTAAGCGTTTCACGCTGACCGCACTGTCTTTGGCGCAATGCGTGAAGTATTCATGCATTCTTGTAGCCGCTATCCGTTTTACGCTGACCGCAGTGACCGCACTGTGTTTGATGCAAGGCGTGAAGTATTCGTGCAGTCTTGTAGGCGCTAATATGTGTTACATGCCGACCGCCGCGCCGAGGGCTTCTCCTTTTCATCTAAAGTCCTCGTCATCATTTCTCTCTAAGTCGTGCCGTTCCAGGCCAAATTGCGTGTCGGGTTTCTCTCTTAACTCGATCAATGAAAGGTGCTGTCTCTTGTATCACTAAAAGACGGCAAAATTAGAAATTACTATACTCTCAGGAAGTGAGAGATTTTGTAGCTTTTACTCGTTTGTAATTTTGTTTTTATAAATCCGATTTTTTTTTTTACCTACACTTTGAAAAATCGCAAATTTTTGCCGTCCCTTAGATTTTTTGCAGTGGGTCGCGGCCCATGTGGCCACCCCCTTAATCCGGCCCTGGAAGTCACGAGTGAATTTTAGACTTTCCTGATGCGCTCATTGTGATTTTTGAGCCAGTCTTATTCTGACAACATAGATTTAACATTCTATCCATGTAAGTAACATTATACATCAACATGTCAACAAAGTAACAACACTCCATCAAGAAATCGTGCTGAGGGGGCTTTTGATCTGTAGTGTTTAAATAATTATAATATATCTTGTTAAAATCTCGTTCAGGAGTTGATTTCAAAACTTCCCGTCGTGTGGAGTGTATTGCTATGTAAGATTTTGAAGAGAGAACATAGGATGTTTTCTTTAACTTCAGACCTTGTCTAGTGATCCATTAGCCCGGGCAGATCACAATGCGCCCAGCGGACCGATTATTGAAATTCATAGACAAAGCTATAGACAAAGAAGACAAAAAGGATTTGCAGAGATCCTATTGGTGGAAGCGGGTGGTTGTAATGGACAAAGGAGGTAGGTAATAGACTAACAAACGGCAACCGACAAGAGACCCGACAGCTAGTCTATCATTTCCCCTCTTAGTCTGCAACGGCCACCGGTTTCGACCAATAGGATCGCTTCATACTCCCCATGTCTTCTTTGTCTATCGCTTTGTCTATCAATTTCAATAATCAGCCCGCAGCTTTCGGCACTTGCCGGTAACATGTGGACGCATTTCTACCAAACGGAACTATAGACAAGTGGGAAAGATGGAGTGTGTTCCATGAAGTTGCATAAGAAACACTTTTCCATTCTGTCAAACGGAACTATGCGGCACTAATGAGCTATGGGCATGGTAGAAGAGCGTGGTGGACAGGGCTCATGAGTTAACGCCGACCAAGAATGGCAACGGAAAGACGTAGACGGCTTAGTTGTCGCTGACTTCACTGTCGCTTTATAATTCCCATTCATTCTTACGGCCCTCGAATAACGAGCACAGCCCTTCTTTTCCACCTGCCTCTGGTTCCGTTTGGCAGAAATACGTCCATATAAAGATAGAGAATACTCACATTGACTGACGTAGGAGTAACAAATGGTATGCAACAAAATTAGCCATCATAAGCAAGGCAAACACAAAATAAAGCACCATCTTTTGCAGTGATACTTGCGCAGAGGTCAGACACACCACCATTCCGCTGATTTCTAAGACCAGAAACATTGTAACAGGCACTCGCATCACTGCATGGAACATGCGGATGATTTTGCCTTCATCTTTGCTGGTGTCAAGGGTCCCATCCAATCCAGTTCCAACACGTAAATGAAAGTAGACGACTTTGTCCTGCCATGCGATTCTCTTTTGTAATACACTCATGGGCTAGTAATACTTCAGAACTTCAGTGGTGAGTACATTGGAGACGCGGTAATCCGCGGTAATTAATATAGGCACTTACTCCATACGTAGCTTGAATGCCAGCCATAGCAAGAAATGCCAGAATCACAAGACGTGGCTGGGAAACTTTACCTTTAAAAAAACTGAAAGACTTTCGACGTTACTACGGGAGAATATTATTATGATAACGATGAAAAGTAAATAAAGTCACCTTTTGAACCATGCCAAGAAACCACTGACATTTTTTTCTGCGAGGCTGTATGTTCTTCCATTAGAAACTAGAGCAGATGACTCGTGAATTGATTTTTATTTCAGCATGCTAGTATACACGAGGACTAGGAACCTCGATAATTACCAGGGGGGCTTAATTATTCACTGCGCGTGAATCGACTCCATCACTGAATGCAAGTAACATTCCTGGCCGAATGACATGGAACAGAATGGCCAGAAATAGACAATGTTTTAATATTGATCCTAAAGAGAGGTGGGTAGCTCTCGCGTGAAAGTGCGACGTTAGGTACTTATGCACTTATTTATAATTCCTCTTAAGGATATAAATTTTAATTATAACGAGGAAACAACCGTTATAAGCCGCACCAAGACTGTGCTGTGGAGACAAGCGATAATATTCAATTAACAAAAGGATAATGAAACAAGAAACCTGACTCTAGGAATGAGTTGTACCTACTTTTAAATGACAGTTTGAGTAGTCATTAATAGGCGTATTTGCTCCTAAAATAGAGGAAAACTGTATGACGTCACATTAAAATTCACACTCTCTTCATTCGCGTGGACTCTTCAATGTTCATAATCGCGCATGCGCAACTTCTGATATAAACTACGAGATCTTCCATTCGTATAGTGTACGGAAGTCGTATCGCCCTGTTGATAAGGTTCATGGTGGGAGACCCGTCTTATCATGGCCTTGGCTCTTTCATGCTTTGACTCCATTTTGGCACATTATGAGGCAGCCTCGTGGGCTTTTATTTTGTCACCGGTAATTGGAATAGAACTGAGAAGTAAGAGAAAGATTTGTTCATAACCTGAAAAGAGACAAATTCGAAGGGTGTCAGTCAATAATAGAGGGTTGAAACATATTGACACCTTACATGACAAACCGAGTGATCGAAAAATAATATGAAGACACGCATAAAAGAAAAAATTCATACGGTTTCTACATCTCATATACATTTATTTGAAACTATAATCAATTTAGCTGGCTCAGTAATCTTGCGACGATGCCATGACCAAGTATTATGTCATCTAATCGCAGGAGCGAATTCATTTCACCCATTTAAAATCGACACTGGGTTTGTTTGTTTGTTTGGTTTTTTTTTTTTTTTTTTTTTTTTTTTTTTTTTTTTTTTTTTATCCAGGGAAGATACTCACTTGGGTAAAACATTCAAGATTCATCGAGATCACAGAAAATGCTTTCATTTTAAGAGAGCTATTCATAGCCGAACGAAAATTCAGCAATAATTTTTTATATTCAATAGATTTTTCGCACCAATCATTTTCCGACAGAGAGACTTTCAAGCCATCATACTGAAAGCAGAAATACATATGAATATGAATATGATGAAATTACTCTGATCGATGGAATATAAATTGCTCTGTTTTCAATTTGAGAATTTTCCGTTGAAAAGTCTGAATTCAACAAAAATGAGCCTACCTACATCAAAATGAGATCGATTGAAACCGATTTGAAATCATACTCTTTCTTTGAGTTTATTGAAAAAAATAATACAACAAATAATAATGAAAAAAGATATGCATTAACTATCTCCACAGACTATATATTTTTCCCCGACTTTACATTCTCGACTAGTGAAAAAAAATACAATTGTTAAACTTGAAACTATTGTTCATTAAATTTTTTTTAAAGAATATAAATTGGTTGCATTCTGATGAACTCCGTCCAAATATGACGCCTAATGACGAGAAAGGACACACTTTCTAATGCGATGACTTTTCCATTTACAGTTTACAGAAATATAATTTCTTTGATAAAGGTATGTTTAGTCACACTCTTTCGATCCTTGGATAAACTATCCCCACGTCACTCTTAAAACAGTACATCTAATAACGGGGAAATCACATAGAATGATCCGCAAATTTCACTTACGGTATCTCGAAATAAAGTTGCGTTGAAGCATGTCAAGAGTAAGTGACCCGATCCAGCCATAACGTAAGCGAAGTACATTGTTGTCTCGCTGATTTTTTTCCCCGCTGATTCAGAATGCCTGAGTGCCTAAATAGGAGGTAGACCTTATTACAAAAAGGAGCGATCATTTTGAATAAGGAATAAAATTGCTATAGAGCGAATGGTGCCAGCGGTTGCGGTGAATTTGGTAATGCATAAAACTTTCCATGCAAGTGTGTGCATTTTGGAGTGTATTTTGGACATTTTCAGGCATACTGATGGTAATTTTCGTGGAATTTTACTTCTAAGTAATACGTTCA